TCTCTATTCACCTCAGGGCTTGACTCGAGGCGCTTCTCTTATCCTGCGACGACGCGGCTTTTTTGTTTGGGCTTCGTTGCTGTGCCCTTTTCTTCTCTGCTCTTCTGGCTCCGTTTACGCGCCAGTTCTTGCCATCGGCTGTTGGTGTTGTTCGCTCTTATCGCGCCGCTGTCTGACGTCGAGCTGTGATACGCCCATCCAATCGCGAACATCCGTTTCGCTCTCCGCCTTGTCATTGCACAACACTGTCGCATATCTAGGTAGCTAGCTGAGCACAGCTGCTGCTGACTGCTTTCGACGAGCGACGAACTAAACTTGGAGGTCCAAGTGTCATTCTCTGGATCTCGCATTGAAAACCTCGCTCGCAATGAGCACCGGCGAGCACCAAGGCGCCGCGGCCAACGGCGTGGCTGAGACGGCGGACCAAGTCAACCAATTAAACGGCATCTCAAATGCCACCGCCAACGGCACGAGCAGGAAAAGGGTCGTTGTGGTGGGTCTAGGAATGGTAGGAATCGCTTTTGTGTGAGTAGCATCCTTCATCTCAACAGAAACGCTCACGCTGATGCCTTCGCCCCAGAGAAAAGCTCCTCAAATACGACGCCAAGCGGCGAGAGTACGACGTGACCGTCATCGGCGAAGAGCCGTATCTGGCGTACAATCGGGTGGGCCTGACGAGTTACTTCCAGCACCGTCAGATTGAGAATCTGTTTCTAAATCCGCGTGAATGGGTAAGTTGGTTGCCCCTTGACTGCGTTTTGCAGTTTGGTTTGTTGACTTTGCGGAATAGTATTCGAGCATGCCCGAGGGTGCACTTAGCTACCATGTCAACACCAGAGTGACCGAAATCCTGTACGAGCAAAAGGCCGTCAAGACTGCTTCTCGAGAGACTGTGCCGTACGATGTTCTGGTCCTGGCGACGGGCTCCGACGCGTTGCTGCCGCGCCACACCCCCGGACACGATGCCGATGGAGTTTTTGTGTACCGCACGATTGACGACCTGCAACGGCTGATTGACTTCGCCGCTACGAGAAAAGGAACCACGGGAGCAGTGGTGGGCGGTGGCCTGCTGGGTTTGGAAGCGGCAAAAGCCATGATGGACTTGGAACAGTTTGCACAAGTAAAGCTGATCGAACGGAATCGGTGGGTGCTGTCACGGCAACTGGACGGAGATGCAGGGGGCATGGTGGTCGAGCAGGTCAGAGCGCTGGGGCTGGACGTCCTGCTGAGCAAGAGGGTGGGCAAGATTTTGACAGACGAGAACAACGCAGTAAAGGGCGTGCAGTTCGAGGACGGCGACGAGATGGACTGCTCCTGCATCTGCTTTGCGGTAAGTCTTGCGCTGCTGCTACCTCGGACGACTGTTCTAATCTTTGCAGATTGGCATCCGCGCCCGCGACGACCTGGCTCGCAAGGCGGGCATCAAATGCGCAGATCGTGGCGGCGGAATCATCGTCTCGCCAGACTTGCAGACCTCGGCGCCAGACATTTACGCCATTGGCGAGTGCGCCAGCTGGGAAAGCCAAACCTTTGGGCTCATCGCGCCGGGCGTGGAAATGGCCGACGTTCTCGCATTCAACCTCACCCAAGCAAAAGCACACGCGGTGCGCAAGTTCAAGCGACCAGATCTTTCGACCAAGCTCAAACTGCTCGGCGTCGAAGTGGCCAGCTTTGGCGACTTTTTCGCCGATAGGGATGGTCCCAAGGAACTGCCTGCGCGGCGTGGCGGCGGCAAGAAGGAGGGCGTGATTGATTCCAAGGAGCGCGTGAAGAACCTGACTGATGGTCCGGCACCACCGCCTGTCAAGGCTCTGACGTACAAGGACCCGTTTAAGCAGGTGTATAAGAAGTACTTGTTCACTTTGGACGGCAAGTATCTCCTCGGTGGCATGATGATTGGCGACACCAAAGACTACGTCAAGTTGGTCCCATTGGTCAAGAATCAGAAGCCCCTCGAGATACCACCGAGTGAGCTGATTGTTGGCGCCGACAAGGGAGACGACGGGGCGGATGATCTGTGAGCATTTGGCCAGTGTTGATACTTCAGGGGCTAACATTTCACAGTGCCGATGACACGCAAATCTGCTCCTGCCACAACGTGCTCAAAGGCGACGTCGTCAAGTCAGTCAAAGACGGCACCTGCAAGAGCATCGGCGACGTCAAGTCTTGCACCAAAGCTGGGACGGGTTGCGGCGGTTGCATGCCGCTCGTGCAGACCATCTTCAACAAGACCATGTCCTCGATGGGCCAGGAAGTCAAGAACCATCTCTGCCCGCACTTTGAGTACTCGCGCGCAGACCTCTTCAATATTATCTACGTCAAGAAGCTCATGAGCTTTGCCGATGTCATGCGGGCGTGTGGAAAGGATCCCGAATCGGTTGGCTGCGAGGCCTGCAAACCCACTGTCGGATCGATATTGGCGTCGCTGTTCAACAAGCACATTATCGATGATGACCGACGGGGTCTTCAAGACACTAACGACAAGTTCCTTGCCAACATTCAGCGAAACGGCACGTTTTCTGTCGTTCCCCGTGTGGCGGGTGGCGAGATTACAGCGGAGAAACTCATTATCATTGGCACGGTAGCCAAAAAGTATGGCCTGTACTGCAAAATTACAGGTGGTCAGAGAATCGACATGTTTGGAGCCAAGAAGCAGGACCTCATCAGCATATGGGAGGAGCTGATTGACGGCGGCATGGAGAGTGGCCACGCCTACGCCAAGTCGTTGAGGACGGTCAAGAGCTGCGTCGGTACGACATGGTGTCGGTTCGGAATTGGCGACAGCGTGGGCATGGCCGTCAGGTTGGAAGAACGATACAAGAGCATCCGCGGGCCGCACAAGATCAAAGGAGGCGTCTCTGGCTGCGTGCGCGAGTGCGCCGAGGCACAAAACAAGGACTTTGGCCTCATCGCGACGGAAAAGGGGTTCAACATCTTCGTCGGCGGCAACGGCGGCGCCAAACCGCGACACTCGGAGCTGCTAGCAAAAGACGTGCCGCCCGACGACGTGATTCCGATTCTCGACCGCTACCTCAGCTTCTACATCCGCACGGCCGACAAGCTGCAGCGCACGGCGCGCTGGATCGAGAACCTGCCCGGCGGCATCAAGTACCTGCGCGAGGTGGTGCTGGAGGACAAGCTGGGCATCTGCGGCGACCTGGAGAAGCAGATGGCCGATCTGGTCGCGAGCTACTTTTGCGAGTGGACCGAGGTGGTCAAGAACCCGGAGCGCCGCAAGCTGTTTGCGCAGTTCGGCAACACGGCCGACACGGTGGCGCCGCCCGTCGAGCCCATCGTCGAGCGCGGCCAGACGCGGCCGACAGCCTGGCCCAAGGACAGCGCTACGATAGATTTCCGCGGCCACCAGTGGACCGGCGGCCTCGCGTGGCAGCCCATCATCGAGGCCGCGCGCTTCCGCGACGTCGACACGGGCGACTCGCACGCCGTCAAGCGCGGCCATACGCAGCTGGCGCTGTTCAAAGTCAAGGGCCGCTACTACTGCACGCAGCAGATGTGCCCGCACAAGCGCGCCTTTGTGCTGTCCGACGGCCTCATCGGCGACGACGCCGCAACCAACAAGCTCTGGGTCTCGTGCCCGTACCACAAGCGCAACTACGAGCTCGGCGGCGAGGCCGCCGGCCGCTGCGCCAACGACGACGCTGTCAATATTGCCACGTTCCCCGTCGAAGAGCGCGCCGATGGCTGGGTCTACGTCAAGCTGCCGCCGGTCGAGGAGCTGGATGCCCTGCTCGGTACGGAGCGCTGGCGCGTCCGCGCGGACGAGTCGACGGATCCGTATGAGGGGCTGGATCGCAAGCTGTTGGGCAAGGACAAGGTGGGCGTCAAGGGGCGGAAGCCGTTTGAGAAGAGCCATTTGCCGAATGGCATGGGCGAGCAGGCGAAGGCGAAGAGTATCTTGGCTGGTGGTGAGGCAGGATGTGGCGGCGGTGGTGGACTGGATTGGTGAGAAAAGGATTGGATTTGGCTGATGGGTTGGCGTTTTGGGGGGGGGGCTCTTCTTGTTTTTGTGAGGTGCATTGCGTGAGATGGGAGGGAAATTGTTTGTCGTTGGTAGACAGACTTGAAAGTCGAATCGACACTTTTACATTTTGGGTTGTGTTCTCAATCCACACTACTCTAGTACAAACGTTCTGAATCCACAGTCATTTCGCAAAATACGTACTCCCATCTACACATGTATTTAAAGTCTCTCTCCTCCACTAATTTTAGTTAATTGACTGCTTTTAATAGGCCTAGTCAATTATTTATTTAATCTTCTATCCTAACTACTTACGCACGCACCCCTAGGTAGATGGAGTAGTAATTAGTACGTGGATAAAATACTGATACATCATTATGGGTTGATTATAGTGAAGGGGAGATATGAGAGTAAAAGTTCTACTTGATATAGATAAACTACGGACCAGCATGATTAAAGTCAAATGTGGCTGATGATGTGTATTGTGCGAAGTCAGCGTAGACTCAGAGTATTTGGCATTAAATATGTGGATTGAGATTTCGTCCCTAATATTTTCTTTCGGCACTCAGAAATATTTTGCCCCTGTGCTTGCCCCTCTACTAGGAATCTCTTTGCAATACTTTTCGGGACTCTCAAGAACCCTAAGGAGCAAAGGAGGGTGACTGGTTGGTCTTTTTTCCTGGAAATGTGACGAGGTGCCTGCAACCCGGCTTCCGAATGGGGTTTTGGTTCGTCTCTTGGTTGCGAAACCGACTGGATTTACTGCCGAGAGTCAGGAATCAATTTGAAAGTGTGTTCATGAGCTGCGTCCACCGAACATGTCTGGCTTTGCCGAGTCTTCCCCTGTTTTGACTTTACTCGCAAAACCCCCTGACAAGGGCAGTAAGAGATTTTTTCCCCCAATCTCTGGAATGTAAGTCAACTGTGGATCGGAGCAAGCAATTCATAAGAAATTTACTCAGTTGCAACCTCAACAATCAAGCGCAGCTGCTCCCAAGCAGCTTCTGCCCCAGATTTCACCGGTGAGGTGGCCGAGTTGGTTATGGCGCCAGGTTAAGGTTACCTTAATATCTGATTCCTGGTGGGGCAACCCGCGCGAGTTCGAGTCTCGTCCTCATCAACATGATCTTTTGCCCTCGGGGCAGTTGTTTTGCGTGGTTGTGTCGAGAGGTGATGGTGTTGAAATTTCAGATGGACCCTGGGCCCGTGCACGGCGCCACGCGGGCTAGCCGAGGCGGCCCGAGCGGGACCGGCAGGGTCCCTCGCGCCCGGAGCCTTGGGCTTCCCTGCCTGGCAGGTGTCAACCACGTACTTTAACGTCACCTCGCCCGCGTCAGCATCTCCTCTCCCGACACCCACTCAGTCGAATCCTTTTGCCCGACCAGCCTCATTGCCCAAGCGACCCTCCTTCGGCGGCGGACGTGACGAGACTGCCGCCAGCGAATCTTCTCAGGCACATCACGACAACGGCATTACGCCAACGAGGACTGCGCAGCATCTCTCTACTCAGACATACCTTTTACCCGATGTCCTGAACCTCAATTACCCCGCAAGTTCGACTTCTGGATGGCATGTCCGATGCCCAGACTAGATCGCCGGCTGTCGCCCAACCGGCCTCGCAAAACACGACATGCAGTCACCGTTGCCAATCTCAACGCAAAGCCGATGGCTCTATCCTACGAACATGAAGGCGATGCGAGGCAACTGGCATTAAAATGGAGCGAGCAATAAACAGGCCAAAGGTCTGCCTGGCTTTGTGACACTCCCCTTTTGTGCTTGGACTTACTCCGGCGTGATGTTGGCGACATTATCCCAACACATCATGGCCACCGCAAGACGGCTAGCGAGACGCTGGCCCATTGAGCGGTTGGAGTATTGCAGAACAATTTCCAAGGCCTGGATGTATTCCCGCTTTTTCCGCCCAGCCAGCGTTCGATTTTTCGGTCGCGGATCGACAGGCAGTCATGGACGAACGAGAAAAGCCCACCAAACGCGCGCGATCATACGGACGTTTTTAGAACGACGGCCTTCATGTTCACCGGACATGCGATGAGAAAAGCTTGTTCCATCGGAGCAGGACGCAACATTGCGTGAAGATTATGCTATTCAACTCTTGATCCTGTGAAGTCATAATTTCGTCTCGACGTTTCATACTTCCAACTCTTTCCCAGAACTGTAACGTTGATGCGTCACGGCCCCAGGAATACCTCGACACCGCTTCAAAGATGTGTCAACACCTCAGCACCCTGCTCAGAAACGACCGAGATGGTGCATAAACCTTGGCATTCTCTCCGCGTTTTCAACAGACAACCCCATAAAATGTGGTAAGTTCATGGGGTTCGTTGTCTGGGAAGTTCCAATGATCAGCAACACCTTCAGAGGATTTCAGCGAGAGCTTGTTGCCTTGACGATTCGCTTGACGCTGAAGGTGTAAAGATGCCGAGGCCAGAATACCAGTGGTAATCAGACCAAGGATTGAGACCACCAACTCGGCAATATTGATTGCATCGTCAGTCGAGAGCGAGCGAGGAACAGGAGCCATGTGTACGGAACTGTCGTCGCCAGAAAAAGTTAGTCTGAGAGCAAATAGACCACTCGGCATGCCACTGAATCAACCAGACTCCAGACTCTAGACTCTAATGCCCTGGTTCGTACAAACGCACAGGAAATTGACATACCAGATTTGAGTCACGCTCGTGGAGTAATGTTTTCGATAGGTTCGATGCCCGCTTGCGCTTCCGGGGGTCTGCCACTCCTCTCCTGTCCGAGGAAATCGGTGAGATTCGGCTTGATATTTATCCCAAGAACCAAAATTTCAGACACCTGTAGCGGGTAGGGCGAAAGCCACATGGAGACAGGCTGCGTTACCAAGTCTTGCCGCGGCCGAAGCAGACGGAGCAGTGGCAAGCAAGGTGTGAACAGCACCCAGTTCGATTACTGTGCGACGGTAATTACGTTCTGCTCGAGGCGCAGTCCGTTACAAGAATTCGCTTAAAACTCATCATCTGCACGGAGTGCGCTGGCCTGGGCTCAACGTCCGTCCCAGCTGTAGTGCGCGTTTTCTCCTATTGGATCCACCTTTCAATCGCAATGGCGTTGTCTACCTGTCTCGTCAGCAGTATCCAAGCATCTGACCAATGATAAATGCGGCTGAAGGTCGCCCGAAACTTCCTTTCTCGCTTCTCTCCAACTCCGAGTGGCTCCGGCGGGATCCAACACTCAGAGTGAAGGAGAAGCTTCTCGAAGGCAGGAACTGAATCCATGCACAGCTGGCTACTCTGCACTGCAAGTGAAGCCAAGTCGCGAAGAATCTTGGCTATGGCGCGAACTCTGGCAATTGTCAGATAACACTGCATTTGCGGAACTTCAAGTCAACAGGTGTAAGTAAAAGCGCTCTCCATTTCAGCGGCCTGTTCAAAACATGCAGGAAAGCCGAAGCATTTGCAGAGCCTCATCCGAGTCCGAGCGAAGCAACGAAGCGATTCGACACGCCAAGATGGCACGGGAATTTTGCTCACGGGCTTCTTTGCTCAGCACTTTACCTGTCCAGCTGAAGATTGCAACAATCTCTAAGGTGCTTAAATGATTGTTGCCTGGGTTTGCCACGCTGACGTTGTTGCGAAGGAAGCAGGGTTATGTATTAGCGAACAAGAAAAATCCAGGCCTGACTTATCAGAAGCCGCATAATCTGGTCAGAAGGAGAGTACGTGTATAAGCACCAGCGCCACAGAGCCACTCCCCGGTGCTCACTCTCCGGGCCGAGCCCGCACCGACGCCGTATCACTCAGCACAGCGACAGAGTAGCGAAACCGAGGCTCTGTCATCTCACAAACAGAAGAGATGCGAGAGAATACACACGTCCGCTTTGTTTCGCTCTCGCATTTGGAACGGGGTTATGCAGAGTATTCGCCACAGCCTTGTGTGGCTTGATGGCACCATATGGACGACCATTTTTGTGACCAGAGGAGACAGGCGGCTCAAATCATGTTGGATTGACGGAAGGCCCCTCGATGGCTGTTGAATCCGACTCCTCCTGAATCCCCTTCTTGTCGGCAGGCTTGCATCTTGCGTGCCGCTCTTGATTGCAGCCCTTTTCTACCTGGAAGATTATCACTCGGGTCAGAGAATTCCACTGTTTTCGCTGAATGTCCAGAAACATCCAGGGCCAGCTCATTTCGAAGTCATCTTGGGCTTTGGGACATGGAATTGCGCCCCAGAGAATTCGCTTGAACGCCATTTTCAAAAGCGTCGCTGGGACATGCTACAACAGCTTCGAAAATTTGGGCGGCAGGGAGATTGATTCTCGCTCTCAAGAATTTTGACCGCCCTTCAACGTCAATACTTGCACCAAAGTCTCTGGACGTGGGAAGTTGCAAAACTATTGCCTGATTGGGTATCTTGCTGGGCCTAAACTACTCACTACACCTTTTGCTGAACCTCTAACTCGCGCAGATACCAGTCGCTTGTTGACATGCAGTTTGTGGACTGGCTGAATGTGTTGATGGCATAAAGAAGACCGACAAACCGTCAGATGCTAGACCTAAGGCCAGCGCGACGAATGACAAAGAAAAGGAAAGGCGGCGAGGAAATAAGCTGGCGAACAAACAGGCAATGCAAGTGGAGAAGAGACGGAGGAGAACATAGACAAAGAAACCACCCAAATAGATCTCGCTGATTGCCCGCTGCGGTGGTTCCCAGCGCATCATTCATGCTCCCGTGGTTGTAAGCCTGGAAGTGGTAAGTCGCCAATCCCGCTTTCCTCCACCTTCGTCGACGCTTCAAGAATCTTTGGCAACTGAAGGCATCTTCATGTGCTTCCGGTGAGATGAACACGAAGTGCCAAGGAAATCACTCCATTTGAAATCATTTTTTGATGACCTCTATCTGCGTAGCAAGATAAATCGTGTGGTAGTCCCGTATAGCCAATGTTAAGGCAAGTTGTTCATGATCAGGGCGGAACATGTTTCGGTAAGAGACCCTCATCCAGGTGGCCGGGTGTTTGGGTATTTGTTTGTGGCGTTCATTTGACGCCATATCCCAGAGATCGTCATTTGCCTTCAATCTTCAAGATCTCGCTGATTAAAGTTTCCTGGTCCAGGTCTTTGATTTTCTCGGCGACGAGGCCCACGAAGATTGCCTTCAATCGCTCAGGTTCCATGCCGGACAACTCGAGGTGGCGGGCTGTTTTCGTGTCGTTGTCGTCGTCGACATTGTCTGCCGTCATGCTGGTATCATCTTCAGAATCTTCCTCGTAGCTTTCCTCGTCGTCGCCGAGAATTCGGCAGCAGCAGCAGCCCTGAAACAAGTCTGTCAGTACAAAGATATGAACCAAGCCAGTGCAACCTCGAGAGAGGTACGAAGGAGGGGGGGAGGCATTCGAGATGTCAATGACGCCAAAAGATCGAGAAATAGGAGTGGTTGGTTGGCTCTCAAAGTCTCAAAGCCCAGAGGTATTGAGGGCATACTCACTCGCGTTCCTTTTTGGCTCTTCGCTTCTTCTGTGATGGTCGACGCGCATTGCGGACTGGTTTCAGCCATTTCTCTGGCTGGTCGGGATACTGCTCCCGCCTGGCGCGGACACGAGCACGGTGGCTTCCTCTGCGGTCTGGTTTGCTCCTCGTCATGATTGCAAATGGGATTCGAAGGCGGGGGCGAAGAGGTCAGAGTGGAACAGACAGCGGCTTGATGAAGCGGAGAAGAGGGGTGGAGAGTGGAGTGGAGGAGGAAATGGAGTGGAGTGTGGGAGGTATGAGGCACATGGGCAGAGGCTGTGTGCCAGTGACAGAGCAGGACCCGGAGGAGGAAGGCGCTACCAAGAGGAGAAGTCACGTCGCCACCCACGACCCACCTCACACAACCTGGCACCACTCTCCTCACGTCAACCGAATCATCTGCCGGCGGATACCTCTGCGGGCAACTTCCAATTGAAGGGCCTTTTGGTTTACAGTCTTTCTCGCTCTCCGACAATCCACCACACGTCTCACCACCATTCTCAGCACCCTCAAACCCCTTCAAACACTCGAAGTATCCCCTCAGAGCCCAGGACCCAGATTCCAGACCCCAGAAGTACTCTGAAGGGATGATGGAGCAACAAAAGGCCAGAAATAAAGGCAAAAGAAG